TGTTGACCATTTGCTTGTGGACGATAGCTCAATGTAGACAGTGACCTCGGCTGAATCAATTCGGCAAATGCTTGAAATACTTCACTCATGAAGCGAGGGTCACGGTCATGGCGTATCAACGAAGGTGCACCGAATCTTCGGTATATGCACCCTTCGAAGATTTTAGCTACCGTTAAAGCGTCCGTGTCTGACACTGCTTTAGCAATGACAAACCCAGTGAACGAGCACTGCCAGAGTAATAGGGCTGTATGGCCTCGACGTGACGTCGGCAGCGGAATAACAAAATCCATTGACACTATTTGGAATGGTCACTCTGTGAGCACGTTGCCAGGTGAGTAGCCTTTGAGCTGTGGTGCGCTCTTACTCGAGCTACAGTCAAGGCGCGACTTCACGTGTTTCTCCACATCTACATAAAGTCCAATCCAGTAGTAGTCATGCTTCACCCTCTGATACGATCGAACAACACCTTGGTGTCCTCCTTCAACAGAGCCATGACAATTCGGCAGCACTTCTTGGATCATAGTTGTCGGTACTACAAGTTTCAACAACAACTCCGGTTGGTCATCCTCAGACTTACTTCGAGTTGGGTCCACATAATAGAGTAAATTATCGCTGGATAGAACAAAACTTGTCAGACCATTTCCACGCGTCTCGAGCTTCTTTATAGCTCGTTTTCGCTGTTTCTCCTCTGAGGATGGCCTTGAGCATCGACCACCTCTGTTCTTCATCCTGTGCTTTGGAAATTCGCCTACGTCGCTCTTCTTGTACTGTTACAGGGTCGATATCGTCGGCATTTGGCATGTGTTGTGCCTCAGTATTGGTTCGCTGGGCCTCTGCCCGTGAGTTGTCGGTTAGTGCCTCAGCCTCAGTCTCGGCTTCTACCGCACTGTCTTCCAGGTCATCCTCAAAATGGACTCTCTTGATCATCTTCCGAGCTTGGCTTCGACCCATAGCTGCGATTCGTGGCACGAAATCGGTGAGTGTCTTGCTTTATACGGCATTCGCACCACTTGGAACGCTGACTTGTCGTGTTATTCCTTGTGCAATTTAAACGACATTCTCAGACTCACTCTTCATGACCTTGTTTTCATCCGAAGATGACTCGTAGATCATTTCCTGGATTCTGTTAAGTTCTTTTAACTCCAACTTTCGATGGTCGTTGAGCACCACCTTGGGCACCTTCGACTCCAGTGCTTCCCCAGCAAGCGAGTCAGCAGCTGCATTATATTCACGAACCACATGCAGGTATCGAACTGACTTCAGCTTGGCTGTGAGTTCTCGGTGTCGGTTCAACAGTGCGACCAATGATTCCTTCCGACATGCGATCACCCCTAGTGATTACCTGATTGCCAACCTTGAATCGCCAACTATAACTAAATGTTCAGCTCCGTGTTCTAGTGCAGCCAGCACTCCGTTGTTCATCCCGTTGTACTTAGCCATATTCGCTGTAGTGACCTCAAGGTAGGCACTCGCAGTGATCACTATGTGCCATTCAGGCAATTTCCACACTATCCAGGAAGCGCTCCCGTATCCACCGTTCTTTTCGGTCTTAGCCGAGCCGTCAAAGGAAACGACGAGTCCGTCGTAATCGTGTGTTAATTGCGCATACAGTAAGCTGGGGTCCCTCCGAGTGCTTGGTGATCCTTTAGTCGGTAGGACGACCAGCGCCAGCGACTCGTCTAGGTCCACAAAATTAGTAATCGTCGACTGGAGTCATTGAGAGAATAAACAGTCCTTCTCTCTTATTCCTTGAACTTCCAGCTGCCAGGGAGACTGCAGCACTGCAAACTGCACAGCGCGACCAAACAAGGACTTCGACTTGTGCACCCAGTACCTCGTATACACATGCAACGTCTTTCCAGCCAATTGAGTGTAACACACTTTCAGCAATAGGAGTAACGCGAGTACTTCCTTTTCTGCCGAATGATAGTTCATTTCGGCATCTTTGAGAACTCGGCCACAGAACCAAACTGGGTGCGGTTTGTCGTCATGCATCTGCATGAGGGTTGCCCTCAACCCCCACTCATATGCATATAACATGACGTGCACTTCTTTCTTGTCATCAAAATGCCTTAGTATCGGTGCGTCAGCCACTTTGCGCTGAAGCACGCGAAAGGTTTCTTTTGCTGCCGATAAGTTACTCTCGATTTCGAAATCTTCGTCTTCGAGCTGGTACAGCGCTGCTCCGAAAACCGCAAAGTCTTGTATGAAGCGACTGTAGTAGTTCAATGCTCCAAGGAATTGCCGCATGCCTCGTTTCGTCTTGGGGAACGATAGCTCGGTAATTGCTGCCATATTTTTGCCATCTACCTTAATTCCTTCCGGTCATATTTCGTGAGACAGGAAATCTACCTTCGACTGGCAAAAGATACTCTTGTTGAAACTTACACTTATCCGGCATTCTTCAAACCGGTTCAACAACTTGTCTAAAGTATTCAGACAATCGTCATTTGTAGTTCCACCGAAACAGATATCGTCCAGAAGTTATCGTCGTTGAAATACAGGTATCAACGTCGACTCGTTGGGTTCATTTGTGGTAAACATGTCAGCTGCAGGATCGTTCACTAGTCGTAGTACTGGATCCAGTTCCAATGTTGACACACGGTCAGCATGGAACTTGGTACGACTATTCGTCAGCTTCCAACTTTACGAATTGTTTGACCGCTGGTTAACAGCGCCAGTTTCTGCCACTTGCATACGTTCAGCGAAATGGTTCCATCCACCTTTAGGCTGAACAAAACCTCACAGTGCATTGCCGAGCATTCGTTGGTATATCATTGGAGCATTCTTAAGCCCATAAGAAACCACTCAAAGTGCCCCTGCGCGCAAACGAATGCTAGCACCTTCCGAGCTCTCATAGTCATCAATATAGCTCAACATCCACTGGCTGCATCAAGGGAGCAGAACCATAGATAGCTCTCCAGCTCAGTTAACAAGTCGTC